TAAATAAACGTTGAAAAAAAAAATTAAAAAAAAAAAATCATAGATACATACTAGACAGACATTATTAGACTATATTGATGCTTCAGTGTTATTTCTAGCGGAAAAATTCAGAAATTTTACAGAAATATTAAAGCTTCATAAATCTTAAGATTAATGAGCAATAAAGTAAAATCTGGTGAATGGAAAAGGAGAAACGAGAAAAATTCAGGTTCTATTTTAAGAGTGCTTCAGAAAAAAAAAAAAAAAAAAAAAAAAAAAAGAGTGCTTCAGGACTGGGGTGCCTGGATGGCTCAGTCATTTAAGCATCCAACTTCAGCTCAGATCACGATCTCACGGTTCATGAGTTCAAGCCCACATCAGACTCTGTGCTGACAGCTCAGAGCCTGGAGCCTGCTTCAGATTCTGTCTCTCCCTCTTCTCTATGCCCCTCCTCTGCTCACGCTCGTTCTCACTCTCTCAAAAATAAACATAAAAAAGAAGAGTGCCTCATGGCTAACCCCGTATCACCCACAAAGACAGACTCAATGCAGATATGAATAGAGAATGTAGCCCAGTCTTCTAAGCCTCTCAATCCCGCACAAGGATAGCTTTTGAAGAATTTCAGGTACTGAAAAACCCCAAGCTTGTCATACTTGATAATAAAAAAAAAAGAGTCAATCAGTAAGCATTTATTGAGCACCTATCATGGAAGCTTATTGTGTATTTTATGTAAACAGTAGAACATACGGATTTTGGGATCTACAGATATTTTTAAGTCCACCTTTAAAAGTAGTGTTTACTATGCCAGAAACTAAAGCAGGAATATGTTATCTACAATTGTAGTATACCTGAGAGACACAACTCAAAACGAAGCATCCCAATAACCTCATTAATTCTGTTTACAGTTGATGGAAAATTACTTACCCCCATGAATTATAGGTTCCATAAGCTGATAGACACTAAATGCAAGTCATCATTTATGTTTCCCAATTTAAGCACAATTTCAACAATGTATACTGAATTTAAACAATGCAAATAAAACTTGAGGAAGCTAAATCAACAGTGTCCTGACAGAATCTAAAGAGTTTGAATAATAATGTAGGTAAATGCCTTATGTTTAAACTGAAGAATGTCTGCCTACTGCATGACTTTAACTGCAGGCTTTGTAAATAATATCCAATAAACTTCACAATGGAAGACTGAAATTAAATAGACTACTCACTACTTTCCTTACACTATTCCAATATAATAATCACATGCACAAAGATATCATAACGTGCCACACAAGTGCAAAAATACAATGTAGAATTTCGATTTTAGAGATCATTTAATATAATGCCCTTACTTTGAAAAAGGTCACTGTACCTTGTATGTCAGATTCCCTATTAGGAAATCCAAGCAATGCCACCCTTGATTAAAACACAATAAAAGTTCTATTATAAGTCAGTTTTACTGATAGCAATAGTTTTCACTGGTTTTAAAGTTGGACTGTCTTTGGTCTGATGCTTACCCAGGCTGACTTACAACGGGAGAGTCTGCAAAAAGCAGAATTATAATTCTTAAACTCAATGAATTCAGATTCTTCAGCTACCTACAGGTACCTGTCCTCAAAAAAGATGAGGCTACAGATAGATAAGGCAAATGTATATACAATCATCTAATTGTAGAGCTAGATCCTCATTTTACAAATGAGACGACTGAGGTACAGAAAAAACCAACATAGGAACATTAGAATAGTTAAACATTTTAGAGTTTTAAAATAGGAGTCTTTTTGTTATATTTTATCTGCATTAAGGCAGTTAGGCATTAACAGAGAAAGACCAGATAATACAGAGGCTGAATCTCATGGAAGTGAGATTCTAAAACAACCAACTGCATGAAAATCACCACAGAGGGCCATATTATCTGCTCCTAAAGAGAGGGACACAGTTTAGATTTGAGGGCACCCTATAGGCAGCTGGCTATAATATCCTTATGTTTTACATCAAACCGCACTGTCAGGCATCAGCAAATCAAAGCTTGCCACCTCTTTTTGTAAATGAAAGTTTCATTGGAATACAGCCACACTGTTTCACTTAGTATTGTGTATGGCTGCTTTCGTGCTATAACAGCAACTGAGCAATTCCAACAGCAAGCCATCCAGCCCGCAAAGTCTAAAATGTTAACAATCCAGCCCTTTACAGAAAAAGTTTGTCCAACTCCTGCCCTGTATCATACTGCTTCTCACTTAGGTAGGATTACAACCTTAAATAGGAAGCCTACAAAAATGGCTTCAGAAAAATTTTGTGAAATTATAAAGGTCATATTACAAAGGAAGATGATGCAAATTCAGAATATAAATTCTAGAAACTAATTTTAGGAGATAATTAAAAAACTGAAGGCAGGGTTATATTAAAATATTGCATGGTATTTTTCATTTTTCTCCAAAAAGAAAAACATCTCTCTAAATGCAGGTAGGTAAGTTCTAAGGTCACCCATTCAGTTTTTTATATGTCTACCGGATAGGCTATAGTCACTTCACATGGAAAATGTAGAAAAAAACCGAGAAGAAATGAGAGTAGTAGTTTTAGAATTTCTTTTTTTTAAAACCTAACTTGAAAGGGACTCTCAAGCATCTATCCCCCAAAGGAATAAGCCAGCCTTCCCATACTAGTAGACAAGTCTCAAAGAACAATATAAGCTCAATAAATGTTACCTGACTGACACAGCCTAAAAACTATAAAGTCATTTAATCATAATCTAAACCTAGGCATCCATTTCAATGTATCAGGTCTTAGTGATCTTCTGGGAAAGCTACTGTCTCTAATAAATCATTTAAATTCTTGAGGTTTCAGTCACAACAAAAATGGGCTCACCACCTTTTCTACATCATCAACCTCCTCACTCTGGTAGTCAGAAACAACATCCACAATCTCATCAATAGAATCATCGGTTTTCTCATTCTCCTCTTCCTCGTCCTCCTCTTCCAAATCCAAAACAGTCAAGTCGGCACTGCTTCGTCCACCATTCTTCTCTTGCTTTGGTTCTATCTGTTCTCCTGACAGCAGTAAGTGACCCTGAAAACGTCCTTCCCCTCTGCTCCCTTTTGTAGCTCTCCTTGGAACAATGGAGAAGGCTGTAGGACTAGAAATCCTACTCCAAGAATCACATTCAGTTTTTAAAACTCTGACATTTTCAGTAGTTCCACTTTTTCCAAGTAAATCAGAGATGCTTTGTTCTTGTTGAAACACATCTGAATTTTCCTGACAAGTCTTTATTTCTTTAATTAACTGCTCATCTGCCTCTTTCTTGCATTCTTGCTTAGTTCCAACACATTTCTGAGTCAAAGGGCCCTTCAGGTGTTTTCTCCACCTCTCCCTAATACTGTCCTTCTCCAGAGAGTCTCCACATCCCTTCTCCTTGGCCTCTGGCTGTGGAAAAGACTGCTGCTCCCCAACTTTGCTCCCTGATAATTCGAGCTTACTTTCTTCCTTAGAGATGACTGGAAATTCATTTGAGTTTTCCTCTGGATTTTCTAACCCTTTCTGCTGTTCCACTTTCACATCACCAAGCTTTTTAAGCTGTACATTACTTGCACTTTGGACTGTCACATTGCTGGCTTTTTTGGAAATGGTCTTAACTTCTAGAACAGTCCGTTTTTCTTTGGAACTCTTATGATTTCGAATCCCAAGCTCTTCATCTCCATCTTTATAGTCTTCACCTATGTGTGACCCAGTGATATAGGAGTGCTCAGAAGGTTTAACAGTTACAGGACCTTCTTCTGTAAGGGGTTCTTCATCCAAATTATCACCCCCATCTCCTAAAGAATCACTCAGGATTTCTACTGAGGCAGCAGCTCCTGAGTTTTGCTTTATTATATTAGCTTCAGAATCTGTAGTTTCTCCTTCTGACTGCAGGGCCTTCTTAGTTTCCTGCTCTCTTTTTAAAAAGCTTGTTTCATCTTTCTGGTCTGCACTCTGGGACTCTTTCTTCATCTGAAGAGAAGCAACATGTTGAAGAATGGAACTGGGAACAGGCTTTTGTCCAGGGAGCTGTAACAAAGCAAAACTACCAGACTGGAGAGGAATAAGACTGGCTGTACCAACAGGCTGCCCTCCTGAGCTATAGGTTATTTTGGTTTCAGAGCCTGTTTTACTTGCAAAGCTCTGTGGTTCAGGAGGGGAAATCCTCAGGGTCAATGTACCAGACTGAGACACAAAACTAGGTCCAGAAGAAAGCAATGATGGTGCCTGAGTGATAACATTCACTGCTGGAGAAGACCCAACAGCCTGAATTACAGGATTCATAACAGAGAAAGCAGAGGACGAAGCAGAAGATGGTGGAGTCTCTGAAGGTTTGGAAGGAGTGGGTAACCGGATTCCCATCACGGAGCCTGGTAAAAGGGGAAGAAAAAAAAAAAACTTTTTTTTAATTACCACTGCCCACATCAAGACTTACAAGTGCTTTTCTTTCCAGACAGGTTAACTCTGAGACTAAAAAATCTTAGTGTATTAACAAGTCATATGGCTAAATGATTCCACCAAAGAAAAATTCATTAGAAAGATCTCCAAATTTATACCTGGGTTCCGAAACATGACAGGCTGTAAGTTGGGTTGAGTATTAGAGCCTCGAAGTTGATGCAAAGGGAGGAGCTGAACAATCTGCCCATTAGGATGCCTGAATAGATTCATTCCACTTGGGCTCCTCACAGGTTGCAAGACCATCCGATGCCCCTGAAGTTGTGTGTTTGGGGCAGGTCTAAGAGTAGGAGAACCTTGCTGCACTGGAATCAGCAATAATCGAGGTCCAGTACGTTTCACTGTGTTAGGAGAGACCTGGGGAGTAGCCACTGGAATCTGAGGGGCATTTTCTGAAAAACAAGAAATGAAAACATCAGAATTTTCCTTTAATACATGTAGCAAAAAATTATTATGACATGGGATCTGACCACCCTACAAATAAATTCTAATATGAATTATATAGTTGTGAAATCTTGTACCTCTATCATATATTAAATAATCTCATGGCTGAGAACAATTCATCTTAAAATCTAATTATCAACCAGACATTATAGGGCCTTATATTCAAAATGGTTAAAAAAAAAAAAAAAAAAAAAAAAAAAAGCAAGCATCAATTGTCATGAAGTGCATTTACAGAGATAATGTCTCTGGCCTAACGAAAAGCACAGCAGGCCTCTAAATCTGGATTCCCATTAAAGTTAAACAGATCATTCAGATAAAATTCTCTTCTTTAACCTTAAAATTCAGGCTGTTAACACACTTACTGGACTTATGACTTCATTTCCTAGGTCATACTCAAGTAAGATAAAGTCAAGGACTAAAAGTCATGAGGTATAAAAAAAACTCCTTGGTTTTTAAAATTCTGACAAATAACCAAAGTGTAAAGATATGTGTAAATTATTTTTCAAAAGGAAAAAAAAAATACATACCCCCCCAAAATGGAATGAAATTAAGAGAGACGTCAAAAAAGCAGGGATATAGAGCCTGGTTAGGAAGAGGCAAAGGAATAGTTTTTTTTTTTTAATTTTTTTTTTCCAGAGGCAAAGGAATAGTTTTAAAACAAACAGAAAAAGCAAAAATTTAATGCAGAAGATGTGAACTTAAAAAATGTTCAAACCATTGATAGTATCAAAAGATGCACTTTAATGTTTAGAAGAGATTATTTAGAAATACTTAAGACATGGAAAAAAATAGTAGGGATAATCTACAGACAGATTTTTGGCTATGGGGATAAAAAGGTAGGAATAACAGTAATAGTAAGCATAAATAAAACCAATTTTACATCACCAATGAAATTAGTTTAACTTATTTAACATTAATAAATATTTTCCTCAGTTCATCACTAATGAGAAAAATCAACAAACCAAACAAATCACCTTAACATGTGATATTCTATCAGATAGGCGCTCTGCCCACAAAACATATCAAACTTCTAAAAGAAAGTTACGCTCCAAACATTTACAGGACAAATTATACAGAAGATCCAGAACTACTCGTGAAAATGAAATAAAATGCAAAGACCAAACTGTTCATGGCGGAAAAAGTGTGCAATTTAAACAAAAAACATCTAGGGGCGCCTGGGTGGCGCAGTCGGTTAAGCGTCCGACTTCAGCCAGGTCACGATCTCGCGGTCCGTGAGTTCGAGCCCCGCGTCAGGCTCTGGACTGATGGCTCAGAGCCTGGAGCCTGTTTCCGATTCTGTGTCTCCCTCTCTCTCTGCCCCTCCCCCCGTTCATGCTCTGTCTCTCTCTGTCCCCAAAAAAATAAATAAACGTTGAAAAAAAAAAAAATTTTTTAAACAAAAAACATCTATCTCATGTGAAGTAAGAAGAATGTTAAAGCATTCTTAATTTCCTGACCATTTCTATTCAAGGTACATTTTAGAAAGTGATTCAAATCCAAAGTACTCCAGCCCAGAGACTGAAAGCAGCCTTTAAAATACACACACTAAGTATGTGATTGTTTATTCAAATGCAGGTGAGGGTGAGAAGGGAAAAGAGAAAAAGAAGGGAAGTTAAATGAAAAAGTCACAGATGTCTAAGTGTCTGAGTTGGGATCCTTTTTATGAGCCCAGAACAAAATTACACACACTTAGAAGTAGCAGTTATCTGAGTCCACTCCATTTAAAAAAAGAGCAGATAAGAAAATTTGTTAAAATTAATTATTTCCTCAACTGGTAGTAGAGAAGGTATTTTTAGGTGGTATATGAATATAGAATAACACCATATCACATTGTGAGAAAGTAATTTTTCAATTTTAATCTGATAACATACAGAAGCAAACACCAGTCTTTGATATCACATCAGCATTTTCTAGCTTTCTTCACTAACAGAGAGAGTGCAAGCCACATGTTAACAAATGGTAGCCAGCTAGAATGTAATTCTTTTTATTATTATTGTTTCCAGGGTATTTATAGAGTTAACCCTATGTTACCACAAGTAATGTTAGTCTCCAATTACAGAAAAATTGCTTTTAAAAATACATTTAAGTAAACAAAGGAGTTAATTTAAATAAAAATAGTAATAGTACAAATGAAAATCAGAGCAAAATACATGAATGTATATTCTGAGTGACTGAAATCTGAGAATGAACTACAAAAAGCTAAACTATAGTTTCATGACAGAATTAAAAAGAAAGATCAGAACCCATACTGTTTAGAAAATATGATAAAATGACAAGATATAAACCTTGAGATTCAGCAGGAAATTAAAACAACTCAATCAACAACAATCTCACTTCCGAAATTACCTATTAAGCTAACCAGTTTTTATATGTTTACATGTGGGGAGAAGGCAGAAGACAACAAATCTAATACTGTGATTCAATTAAACTTTGAAAAGACCTCCTTTCTATAAACTAATTCCAAAGTCACTTCATTTCTGAACTATCAACAGAAATTTGGACCATGTCAATAAAGGCAGTATTTAATAAGAAAAATATCAATAACCAAGACAGATTTACTGCTGGCTATTTATTTCCCCTTAAATCTTATAAAGTCTCTCACTCTTTTTACATAGTAATTCTCTTTGAGTCCACTAAGAGAATCATTTATTTTAGCTGGTTGAATTAGGATTCAATTAGGAAATAATTACGAAAGTGTAGGATAGTCCTATTTCAAATTTACTTAACCTAAGCCAACGTAAGAAAAATTTTAAATGAAAAGTTGATAAACATCTAGATTCCTAAACAAATAAATATGCCTTATTTCAATCTCAATCGGTTCATATATAATAATAAGTAGTAGAATAATATCAGTAGTATATGAGAGTTGGAATGATTCACAAATGACTTTTACTAAGCAAAAGGACCTAGAATTTTAATCTTAATCAAGGAGAAAAAGCCCTTAGCTTGGCTGAAGCATGGGAGAAGCTCTCTGATCTCGCTTTTTTAATTACAAAGAAGCACCACCCCCCGAAAAAGGAACACCTACATTAGGGTTACTCAAAAGATGTGCACTCCTAGCTCTCAACACACAGCAGTGCACCTCCTCCTGTGCCCAACCTGATGGCTGCTCTACTGGCTCAGAGCTCAACTTCCACATACATTATTTCAGTATCCTTCAGCCAACATTTCCATTACAATATTTTTTAGTATTTTTATTCTCCTGGGAAAATCTCCAACCCCAGTAAACCACATGTCAAGGCTGTTCAATTTATCTCCAAAATAAAGTTGGGGTGCCTGGGTGGCTCAGTCAGTTAAGAGTCAGACTCTGGATTTCAGCTCAGGTCATGATCTCACTGTTTGTGACATGGAGTCCCATGTCAGGCTCTGTGTAGACAGCATGGAGGATGCTTGGGATTCTCTCTCCCTGCCCCTCCCCAGCTCTTATCTCCCCCACCTCAAAATAAATAAACAAACAAACAAACAAACATTTAAAAAAAACAAAACAAACATAAAGTTAAATACAAAGCTGTATGGTAAACCAGCTAGTAACATCTAGGCCTTACCTGGTCTCTGGCTCACTGGTGGACTCCCATCAATTCCCGAGAGTATAATGGGAACAGAGCCCAGAGATGAAGTTGGTGTGGTCACCATGGAGGAAGATGCAGCTGTGGTCACCACGACTATGGAGGTGGAGGCAGTGGAAGCAACAGGAAGAGTTATAGTTGGAGGAGATGCTACCAAAGACTTAGGAAAAGCAACTGAAGCCACAGGGGTAGTAGTTATCCCAGTCGTTTTGATAAGGTTCACAGTGGCTGTAGACTGGGTAGGTGTTACAGGGGTGCTGGCATTAGTTTCAGAAACCTCAACAACACCTGCAGTGGTGGCACCAGAAGAATAAGTAGTTTCTTTAGTTCCCACGTCAGAAATAGCAGTCATAGGTGTCACAGCAGTAACATTCTCTAAAAATACTTGAGGGGTGGTAGTAGTGACAGCAGCAGTCACAGGGCTGCACACCTGAACTGGCTCAGAAGAAACCACAGGTGTGACGACCATTACTGGAGAAGGTCTGATACTGAACTTCTGTGGCCCTGTTAGGGGTTGGGGTGTGCTAACTCCAGGTATCTTCTGCTGCAGGGCTCCAACTTTACTCATCACAAACTGTGTGAACACACCACCAGGAGAGGGTCGAGCCGCTGCAAATAAAAATTTGCAGGTCAAAAATCTTCAGTTCTCATACTTTATCCTCTTAGTGATTGTGTTTATCAACATTTATTGTGCACCACTGGGTCAATTTCTTACAGGTATTACCTAACTGCAATATACGTGCCAATTTCCACCCACAAAAATCATACACTTCCCTCAACCCAAACCAAATCTTTATAATACTAAGAAAGGGATTAAAATTGTGTGTTCCTGCTAAAATTCTTTTGGCTATGCAATAAAGCCGAATTGCCAGAACACTAAAAAGATAATGTACAGCTCACAACTTCACCATCTAAAACAGTGAAGAAAGTTAAGATTTTTTGCCCTAACTCTAATTTTAAAACAGGTTTCCACCACTTCCTCCTGTCCTAGCACCTCCACCTCTTTATTATTGCTATCCTCTTATTAGACAGTTACAGTTTACACATTTCTAAAATGTATAAAGACAGTTTCAAAAGAGGGCAAGATAGGACTGAAAATCACCAGTAAAAGCTATTTTTTTTTAAAGATAAAATGGGTTCTTTTTAAGGCATACAATGCTTGTCCTCCATCTTCACACAACTCCAGCATTCAGCCAGAGATTTCAATTTCCCGTCAGAGGAATAAGAATACAGAACGGAAGCTTTTACTTAATAATCCTAAATAGAATTGAAACAACAAAAAGAAGAATTCAATAAACTGACTATATATACTCTAAATACTGAAAACACAAATGCTTTCAAGAAGGTAATTTAGTAACAGATTCTAGCACTGAAATGTTGAACGAAAGAGGTTTTCATTCATTGAACAGGGATGAATACATTAAAGCAACACTTCCAAGCTTCTGTTTTACAAGAACCTTTTATTCTAAGCCTATACCACTAACTCAACCCACTTTGATTTGCTAGCCCCCTGGTTTCGTAAGTTCAAGGAACATACATATGATTGGTTACAAAAGTACCAGTGCCCATAAAAGAAACACTGAGTTAAGTAGTTAAGAATATGTTTTGCTTTTTTAAAAACAAAATTAAAAATCTAAGTCTTTTCTATATTTATACAACCAGTCTAAAACTTGGGAAATAATTTTAACCACAATTCAATTTATCTAGTATCATAGGTCACCAGGGAAGTTACCAAAAAGAAAAAAAATTCAGGCAAGACAGACATCAAGAATAAGAATAATGCCAAATTCTACCTTTCTCTCATTTTCACAAACTCCATACCTGTATCCACTGGTCAAGCACCAAGTCACAAGCCTTTCTAAAACATACATACAGTCCAACTTACCAATTGGTCTTTTTGCCGGGACAAATGCCTTCAGATTCTTCCCAGGGCGATTTGTTGTAGCGCCGGAGGAGGATGCCGTTTTGCAATTGGATGTTGAAGGCAACAGGGTACGTGGTTTCCTGGATGCAGCCACCTTGGCATTGGATGCTACCTTGGAGATGACAGTACTGAGGGTTGAGAGGTCCAGGACTGAGGGTCGCAACCTGCCTGTGATATAAGCAGCTAGCCTATTGGCTGGATGCAATGCCCCCATCTGTCCCAATAGCAACTTAGCCTGCGGGTAACTCTTACCATTAACCTGAAACAAGTGGCAAAGAGAAATTCTGTAAAGATAAAATTCTCTTGCTAACTTATCTCCCTTGACAGGGGTTTCATTTTTACAAGGTTTTAAAAGTCTATTATTCAGATGTAAAAGGAAAAAGAAATGGACTTTTTCCACTTGTCATATAATCTGAGTTATTAGAAGGTGGAAAAAAAAAGCTGCCATCTGATATTCTGAACTAATCTCATCTTCATTTTGGGTAGTTTGGAAACAGAATCTTAAAAACTCATCATATCTGCTCTTACATATGCGAGAGATACAATTAAATCTAATGAATCATCCAACTGTTTTACTTAAATAAGCAATTCTGGCTAAATTATTAACAATCAGCAAAAATTAAGTAACTGTGTTTCACAGAATCTCTCTGAAAAAACCAGGGAGGCATAATGAAGCCCTCTCACAAGGGTCCTTTCAAGCATCCTTCATATTTGCAAAATAAACAGTGACTCTACTTTTAAGTTATAAGAAAACCATCGTTATAATACCTAAGCCACAAGGTCCCCTTAGTTTTCAAACTCAACTTTGAAGATATTGTCATCTCTTGAACAAAACTTGAGCTCAAGATACATGCTAGGAGAAACTCACTTATAACTTTAAAAACAATCACTGAACCATCAGAAGAAAGTTATCAATAACTGAAACAAAGATTTTTCATTTCCATGGAGCAACTGGGTGGCTCAGTCAGTTAAGAATCTGACTTCAGCTCAGGTCATGATCTCACAGTTCATGAGTTCGAGCCCCGTGTCGGGCTCTGTGCTGACAGCTCAGAGCCTGGAGCCTGCTTTGGATTCTGTGTCTCGCTCGCTCTCTCTCTCTCTGTCTTTTTCTCTCTTCAAAATATAAACAAACATTTAAAAAATTAAAAGAAAAAAAGATTTTTCTCTACTGCCTGAGTTGATACTGCCCATCTGGGGCAGGAAGATTGTTTTAAAAAATAAAGAACATAAACTTCCCAAGTTTCTTACCCATGTTCTCAAAGTCCTAGACTAGAGAAGACATCCTCTTCTGTCCTTCCTTCCCATCATTTAAAAGGGAGAGAGGGTGAAGTGTGGTGGAGAAACTCCTAGTCTCTAAATTAATAGGAAATCAGCACAGCGAATAGCTAAAACAAGCCACTCTCTCCTCAAAGACACAAAATAGTTTCTTCACTATGTACGTGAACTGTGATTATTCCCATACAGATTAGGAACACCTCTGCCTTGAGTCTGACAGAAAGAAGGTGATCTTTCCAGACTAAAGGAAACTTTACTATCATTTTTCAGGGTTTCTAGAGGTCTAGGGCAGATACCCCTATTTGCTCCTTTGGGACTTGCTCTGAAGACTATTCAACAGCTTTCCCAAAGTCTCCATTACAGTGACCTGACTGCTTATGAAAGTTCACATTTTATGATGGCTGTCTGAGTCCTAGACAGGAGAGGAGAACACAAATTTCTATACCTTTATTTCAGTGGGTCAAGTCTCACTAGAAATGAGCTCAGGGAAGTCTCTGTTCTCAAAATTATCAATGAATAAATAAACGAAGAAGAAAACACTGTTCTTATTATTAGGAGTTTAAGAAAGACCAACAGAAGCAGTTATGTAGCACCATCAAGAATAAACTGCAATAAAAGGTTTTTAATTAAGTCTATCAGTCATATTATTAACGAAATAGTCCTTAGCCCAGGGAAGTGGTCAAGCTAGTAAAGTCAAGTAACCTTATCAGCAAGAATGTCATATACATTTGCTACTCTGATATAAAAGTGCATTTAATGTTACTGACCAAGGAGAAAACCTTTTTACTATAATTACATTTTAATTCAAAACCTCTCTTTGCAAAGATTTTCTAGATGCCAGTGTACTTTTACTAACATAACCTGCCTGAATTACTAAACAGCAAGGACCTATTTATATTACACAGTGATTAGCAAAAATCCTATGGACCAAATAAAGGGAAAAAAAGTAAACTGTGGCTCATTTTTTTTTAAATTTTATACATTTGAGTGACACTCTACAAAATTAAAATCTTTTCCAAGTTTCTGAACATATACTGTTACTAAATACCAATTTCACCTTGTTTTGAAAGCTATGTGCTAATAATAATAACAAAAAACTAGACTGAACCCCTTACTATCCTTGCTTAGTTGTCAAAGTATCACTAGATCCCAAGGAATAAAGTTGTAAGAGTAGGAACTTTCTAAGACTAGACCTAAAATCACAAGCTAAAACAGGGCTCTACATTTCTATTTGTAAATGTGCCAAAAATTCACTCTAGGTATGCATCTAAACTAGGCCTATTACAAAAAGAGAAGATTTTGTCACCCAGTTCCCAGGAAATGTAAAGATAAATGATATAAAGCCCACTAAGGGCTCTGAAAAATCAAGATGTTACCTAAGTAAAAAAAATGTGCTACATCCAGATTAAAGATAATTCTCACCTGGATAAGCCCAGATGTGCTTGAACTGGGTTTACGCTTATAGGCCACAAGCTTCCCTGCAGGAGAGAGCCCTGCATAAAAAGGCAGACCTTTGCCTCCATGTAATCTCTCCCTTACTGAATCCAGGGCATCTGTCTGCACAGGAGAGATATCATCCATTTTCCCAGGGGATAATGGACCATCAGGAGTCTCTGATCCAGATTTCTCAGCCACATCATCTTGGTCTTGACATGATGGCATAGAGATTTTCACACGAGAAGAATAAACAGGAGGGTTCTTCTCACCCCGGCTCTTTCGCTGAGAAGCCAACTCAATGATGAAGCTGCCCACCTTAAGTGATTGTGGCATGTTGCTATTGATGTGCTGGGATAAGATGCTCAAAATCTTGTTCCGATCCTCCTCCCAGTTGCAGTCTGAGATGATTTCTATCAGTTTAGTGGGACCACCTGGTGACCTCTGATGCACATAGGAGGTAGAGGACTCTCCTTCATTGCAGGAAGACTTCCAGCTTCTTTCTGATAAAGAATTGAAAGATACTTCTGCATCACAGAATTTTGTACTGAACTTCGAAAAATTCTTATTTTCCCTGAGTTCTCAGAAAAGTGCCAAGGGCATAGAAATTGAACAAGTTGCCCAGTGTCTGAATCCCACGTACTTTCAGTGGTAATTTAACACTCACAAATTTGGGACTTTTCCAAGAAGAAGAAGTATTTTAGAGAATCAGACTATGATAAGATACTCTGCTGTCTGGGGTCTCCAACAATTTTTTTTTAAGTTTACTTTGAGAGAGAGAGCGAGCAAGAAAGAGTGAGTGCACGCATGCCCAAGCGGGCAAGGGGCAGACAGAGAGAGGGAGAGAGAATCCCAAGCAGGTTCCGCACCACCAGTGCAGAGCCCTATGCAGGGCTTGAACCCACAAACCGTGAGACCATGACCTGAGCTGAAGTCAGACACTTAACCAAGTGAGCCACCCAGGGACCCCTGC